GGTAGCTAGGCTTTGGAGCAGTGGCTTGTCAGTCCTTCTTTCGGTTTCTTTTAGTTTGAGTCGTCTAGGCCGCTTCCGAGCGAGTCCTTTCATTTTTATTCTCATGTTTGAGTCGGATATTGGCTAGTTTAGCCCCATTGTATATTCGGATGATGTTCCCGGTTTGTTATATANAAATAAAAATAGTAGAGTTTTAATTTTCGAAGAAGTCAAGGAGCAACTTTAGATTTTCAAGCATGAAGGAGGTAAGATGTTATCTTTGTAACATGTTTAGTAGATGATATTAAGTGTTTAATAATATTTTTATATGACTTAGATATTAAAGTTTTATATGAGTATAAGCATGCTAGAAGATAAGTTATTTCCAGCTCATATATATGTCATATGTGTTCCATTATGATGAGATTTTTATCTAGCTATTAAAAATCTGGAAATATATGCTTCCTTTGGTTATTTCTTGTGTAAAAGAGAAGTACATAGGATCAAGAATCAAGTCATTTAGTTTAGTATAACTCAAGATATGAATTTTTAAAGTTTATCATGCAAGCTGAATTTTATGTACTTGTTTCCAGCAGCAACTTTAAACTTGAATAAGTCGAGATATACGCATGATAAAATTATGAAATTTTTATGAGATGTCTAAATATGAGTTAAGAACTTGACTGCTAAATTTCATGATTTAAAGTTGAGAAATGAATGAGTTAAGATATTTAGACTGCATATATGTAAAGATGATTTATATGTGCGAATATTCATTATATGTTCAAGTTTTCAAAGTGAGATTATTATGAAAAATTTTCATATAAGTGGTGAGCAATTTAGATAAGTTTCAGTTTAATATGTTGAGTATACAATTTTATAAACATTGTTTTAAGGCTCACATATTAATATCATAATTGAGAATTATGATTTAAAAGTTGAGTATGTTTTGAGAAATTTTCACTTTCAAGTTAATTAAGTGAAAAATGAGTATTAGCCAATATATAAGATTTGGGAGATATGATATATGATGAATTAAGTATTTGATTGAGTAAAAGATCAAGAAAAGTTATGTTTGAGCAATAGCATGACTATTGAAATTTTATAATATTTGGAAGAGTTAAGAATCCCAGTATCTTATTGAGTATACAAGCATAGTACTTAGTATATTTGTTTATAATTTTACGTAACTTGCAGATACAGTTACCCAGTACAGCACTTACCGTTTTTCAAAAGTTTTCAAAGAAGAAAGGTGGGGACCCAGCCTGGGTATTACATTGACTATCATATGATATCATGTCCGAGGTATGTATACAGTTTATAAGCTTGGGATGAAGGCTCCTAGTTGCCTTATCAGTACATCCTAAGTTCTGATGTAGGCCATTAGTTGCCTTAGAAATATCCATCAGAGTGTGCACACGTACCCGATCAGATATCGGCCAGATTCAGTTTAAGTTACTGGAACAGATTTCCAGTCCAGATATATACCAAAGATCATGATATTGTATTATTATTGTTGTTTACTTTAGTATGGGTGATTTAGGGGTACAAGAGGATCAGTACTCACCCCCATTGTGTTTCTCAGGTAACAGGGTCGGGCCGGAGGTGTGAGCTCGAGATGTGGTGGTGGTGGTCGTGCACTTATTTCAAGTGGACATTTATTAAGTATTTGATATGTCTGTATAATAAACCACGTTTTTAAGTATTTCCGCTATGCACACATTGAACTTGCATTTTTAATAAATTTCAGATTTCAAGTTTATACCATTTCGGGAAGTATGAATATGGTACAGTTAAATGCAAGTTTAAACGAAATCTGTTTTCTTTATGTCTAGAGAAGTATTAGACAGAAAGTTTAAAGATAAACGGATTTTGAAGAAGATGAGTTTGAGTAACATCTCGAGTTAGTTGCAAAATATTTCGAAAGAGTTATAAGTATTTTCGAAGTAAAAGTTGCGAAAAATTTACTCTGATGAGCGGGGTGTTACAAAAACAGTAAATACAAATATAATACACGAAAACAATATTTCCATGTTAGCATAAAGGAAATTTGAACTATAACATAATCAAAATTATAATTAAAAAAAATTAAACCTTAAATTAAAAATTTGAGTGAATTGAAAATCTAATATATAAGAACCTCTAACTTCATTGTTTGATTAATAATGGTTTCAAATAACTTTTGGAATTTATTTATTTATTTTTTTGTATTAAAAATTGTAATCTTAGTTGTTATTATATATCAAATTAATTATTTACCAAAGATTGCATCATTGGCTAATTCAATCAACTATTTAAAACTGTTTAATTCGTTTAGAAATATCATATTAATTATTTACCATACACTTTGTGTAATATGCTAATTCAATCAGCTAGTTAAAACTGCTAATTCGTTTAGTAATATTATATAAATTATTTACCATATGCTAATTCAATGTGTTACCTCTTATTATTTAATTCTACCAAATATCAGTTATTGAGCATGATTGGATTTAAAAAGTTTTTGTTTTGATTAGATTTTTTGCTTGGGTTGATTAAATTTGAAAAAGTTGGTATGATTAGTTGTTAGTGGGTATATTAAAATAATATTTAAAATAAAATGATTAAAATTAAATTGATGCAAAAGTAGGAGAGAAGATGTGATGTGATGGTTACTTAAAACTATGTGAGTTGATGAATAGTGAATTAAGGTTGATGTTGTGTGTAAGAATGATTGATTGATATTATTTAATTATATTGATAATATTGATGATAGTGAGTTGAGTTAAAGAAAATAGTTGAGTTAAAAATTGTTGGATTTTTTGAGTTTGGATTTATATCCAATTATGTTTATTAATTCAATTAACTAGTCTGCTAATTATATATTATCAATCAATGTTGTTCAATCAGATGTTCGCAAAGTTACACGTATGCTCAGGTTATGCAGAGAAACCGTGCTAGAGTAGCAATTAGGTGATGAAAATAAATTAAGATAGATTCTAAAGAGTAAGTTAATGAAGTGTATTCCAAAAGAAAGAAAGAAAGAAAAAAAAAGTCGGCCATAAAGCAGAAAAGATAATGATTTGGACCCAGGTAACACCAAATATGCTGGTACAACATTTTTCCAAAACTGTCCTTTAATATACTTGTATACAACGATAACGCCCTTGACATAAGAAATATTCTATATTAGAAATAATGAAATTTTATTTGTAACTATTGTTTCCGATGAATTTACTTTACTATAAATCTAATGTTACGCAAGTATAATGATAAGATAATCATATATTTTCAATAAATATACATATTTGTAAAATAAAATATCATACTTTATTACAAAATATTAAAAATAAAAATATGATATTTTATATATAATACAATATTTATTTTTCAAGTGTATGGCCCAAAAACTTATGACCTCTTTTCTTATGGTGGCTATTTGGATTTTGAACCAGTCAATAATTTTCATAAAAGTATTGATTATAATGATAAGCAATGTGCATTTGATTTTAGGTTTCAATGAGGATTCATTATCATCCAGTCAGATTTAGGTTTTCCATGTTCCATTTGATTTTTTTCTCCATCCTCTCTTTTATTTCTTGGACTAATTTGTATATATGTTAAAAAAAGGACTATTTTAGTCAGTATGAATATATGATATATAGTTATTATGCTGATTTCCGTTCTCTCTCTTAAAAAACACTCGATCCCCTTCTCCCCTTGCAGGTGAAAACCTAATTCCAGCTCGCCTCTCCACAGTGGTCACTCCTTTTCCTCCGGCGGGAGCCAATTCCTGCGGCGATACTGGCGTCGGTCGTCGATCCGAGGGTCGCCACTCTCTTCCTCGCGTGGGTTACCCCTTCTTTCCCTAAAGAGGGCCATGGCGGATGCGTTTGTGGTGGTCGTCGGCGGTGAGCGTTTGATCGCCTGGCGGTCGAAGCTCGCAGCTTGTTGCTCTGCGGCTTAGCCCCTCCGCCCTTGTTTCGGTCGTGGTATTGGGCTAATAGGAGCTGCGGCCAATGATGGCGGCGGTGAGTTGTCGTCGGCTGGTTAGGGGACCTGGGCGCGGTTTCGCTAGTGCTAGTCCGACGGTGACCTCTTGGGTTGGGCTTCGTATTAGGTCCGGATCTTGATAGCCGGTCACAGAGTTTCTAGGATTTTGGGCCGAGATTTGATCCCTATTGGATAGTCATCTGGGTGTCGACTGGCTTGAGGTTGCTAGGCGAGGTCTGGCCGTTGTGGAGAGGGCTGTAGTCTTTTATTTTTTATGTTTGTTTTGGTTATTGTTTTGTCCGTGTATTTGTGCGTTTTCAGATTTTCTCTCCCTTTCGGAGTGTCTTTTTTGTCTTCTCCCTTCGATAGGAGTTTTTTCGTCTCCCTTGTGGAGCTTTTGTAGTCTCATAGGTGTGAGTGTTCGTGGGGTTTGTTTCTTTGGCCGTGAAGGGTCGTGTAGGGGAGCACATGTTATGTTTCCCCCCATTTGGTTTCCTTTATAGTCTAGGCTAGTAAAGGTTGTCAAGTGTAATCCACTGATTACCGTTTTTTACTTCCGAGGTGTGGTAATACAATTTGATGCTTGATTAAAAAAAATAAAATTTATGATATATAGTTACAAAGAAATGAGATCTTATGAGAATAGGTGATAATGAAAGAAGTGAGAATAATTGTACACCTTTAGATCTTCCAAATTAATGGCTGAGACAAAGCTGACCGGCATTTGACCATGCGGTGGCATTGTTGTAATTTCTCTCCAGTTTTACGTCCAAATTTGGATATGAGAGAGCATTTGCATCTTTTACTGTTTCAGCATAGGGTAAATTTCTTCAAACCCATTAATGCCTACATTAAGATCTGCGCTTTCCTTGTAAGAAATTCCACCTTCAGTTGCGCCGATTATTCCATTTCTGAGGGATTTTGTGAACTGATTTTTCTTCGATTTTTTCGTTCAAAAATATTAGATGTACTTTACCAGATTTGTGTCGAGCTGTGAAGGACGCATCGCGTGGGTTTTGTAGCCATTCAGACAATTTCAAAATAAAAAAATGGTGAATTCTCCGCAAACGAAGAAACCAGGTAAGATTAAATTCAATTTTATCACCATTTTTCAGGTTTTTAGAAGCAACATTGTTAGTTTCATAGCTGATGGTTAAAAAAAAACAAAATTAGGGTTCATTGGGTTTTGTAATTTAAGGAAATTTATAGAATTTATCAAATGTATTATGCTTGTTTATTTTGTGGTTANTATTTATTATTAAATCTTACTTGAATTTGTGTAAGTTAGTATTCAATTTCAGTGAATATATGTTTTGTAATCTGTTTTATGATAGTTGATATGGGATATTATATAATTGAGGAATGGACCGGTTTGCATCATCGGTCAAGCAACCTCGAAGTGGAGAAAACCGGATTGGTAGAAGGATGATCGACCAAACAGAAGGAGATCGAGCAGAATAGCAGTACTGGTCGAGGATCGACCAAAAAGAAGGAGATCGAGCAAAATAGCAGTATTGGTCGAGGATCGACCAAGAGGAAGAAGATCGAGCAGAATAGCAGAACTGATCGAGGATCGACCAAAGGGGAGGAGATCGAGCACTCAACAGGTGAAGAGCAGTCTAGAGCGTGGTGTGAATGCGAGAAGGCGCGTGGATGACGTTAAGAGATCCCAACGGCCTGCGCAGAGGAATAATCTCCCTCAGCTTAGAGGGACACGTGGCGAGAATATATTGGTGCAGAGTGATAGTTGCGAAAGCCACCCCTGACATTCTGGCACACACACACACTATGTGTGTACGGACAGGCAGTACGGGTAGGACAGCTCACCAAAGCCGGGCAGTTTTTAGGGCAGGTATCTCACTCCTATATATATGGGAATGAGTCTTTTCTTGTGACTTACGATTTATCCATTCTTTACTTTGGAAAATTGAACAAACACATACTGACTTAAGCATCGGAGGCTCTTCACCGGAAAACCCCTCCGGTGTAAGAGTTCTGTGCAGGAACGCGGCGTTCTACCGGCGAGGAAGAAGGAGGCAAGCTGATTTCAAGCCGGTCGGAGTGTTTTGCGTTACCATTTGGCGCCGTTTGTGGGGACTTTCATTCGAAAAGTTGTGTGCTGAGATTTCCAAAGCTCGGTGGCTATGGCGGACGGAATTCCTAGGAGAGATTTACAAGCATCGTTCGACGATGCGTGGACGACGACGAGGCCGTTCGGGGAAGGCCCTCCTCTGGGCTTCTCCGGACCCTTGCATACACCGGTGACTCCGATGCCCGTTCCCCAAGGCGTAGGAGTCACGCCGGTGCAACCAGAGGATGACTTGGGCTCAAGCCGGGCCCAGGAGATTCGTACAGCTCAAGGAGCGGCGACCCCAACGCCGCTGCAACCAGATCTGGCCGTGACGCTGCAGCAAGGAGTGGCGGTGCAGAGAGCAGTACCACCGCCAGTGGAGGAGCCGCGACCTGGTCAGCAGGTGGTGATGACCAGACAGGAGATGCAGCAGATGGTGGCGAATGCGGCGGCACAAGCGGTTCAGCAGGTTACTCAAAGCCTTTCGCGAGTGGCTGCTGGACCAACGATGGTGGATGAGAACGTGTCTAGCTATGGAGGAGAAGGAGCCCTGCAAGATCGTGAGGTGGAGAGGCTCGCGGAGCAAGTGAGACAGCTGCAGGTTAAGATGGATGGTCGACCTGAAAGGCGCGCTCGAGGACATCCGTTCTCGAGGGATATACTGGCTGCACCGCTATCTGCAAATTTTAGAGACATGAGTTTGATGTTCGACGGGACCACTGACCCGTCGAGGCATGTAAGGGCGTTTGAGAATTTGGCTGTGTTACATGGTTATTCTGATTCTGTTAGCTGCAGGGCATTCTTGTCGACCTTTAGGGGAGGTGCGCTCGATTGGTTTCAGCAGCTCCCTCATGGATCGATCAAGGACTTTGACGATTTCGCGGAAAAGCTGATGACCCAGTATGCGAGTGCGGTGGCGCAGAAGAAAACCTATTTGACGTTGATGGCCATGAGGCAAGGGAAGAAAGAATCGTTGCGCAAGTATGTTGCGCGATACAACCAGACTTGTTTGGAGATCCCCACGGCCTCGGACGAGGTGAAGGCTGGGGGGTTGATACGGAGTTTGCGAGCAGGGCCCTGTCGAACATCTTTAGCCAAAACCCCTGCTCGTACGTATGATGATGTGCTGAAAAGGTGTAAGAAGTATATTAACCTGGAAGAGACGGAGGCGGAGTTCGCTAAGTTGGAGGAGTTGGCCAGGCCGGAGCCGAAGAAAGGAAGGGCGAGCTCCCCTCGAAAGGCGTCGCCAGGTAGGAGATCGCCCAAGAGAGAGGGGCGTGCCAGAGTTGATCGAGGGCGAGAGAACCGATGGAAAGATCGACCAGTGTTTGGAGAGAAGCGATTCCATAACTTTACGCCCCTTAATGCGAAGATGGGGGAGGTGCTGGTGGCTATTGAGAAAAAGATCGAGAATAAGGACGTGACGTGGCTGAAGTCGAGGCGTGAGGGCCCAACGCAACCTAGGTCGAGGAAGTATTGTCATTTTCATAAGGATTATGGGCACACAACGGAGAAGTGCAGACACCTCAAGGATGAGATCAAGCGCCTCATTAGGGCAGGATATCTTAAGGAGTTCGTATATGAAGACAAGGCGAAGGGGAAAGGCAAAGGAAGGTGTCGGGAGGATTCAGTGGAGCGGAGTGATCGAGATGAGGATGAGGAGGATGATCCTCGAGGAGGGAAAGATGATCGAGGAGGCAAAAAGAGACGAGGGAGCCAAGATCGAGGGCAGGAGAATCATGGACCAGTGAAGAGAGGGACGATTTATATAATCTCGGGGGGCCCTACTGATGGGGACTCGAACAATGCGAGGAAAGGCCATGTTCGAGCAGTGAAAAGAAAGAGAGAGGAGGTGGGGATCACTGCTCGAATGCCGGTGATAAGTTTCCGAGCGGAGGATGCAGAGGGAGTAGTGCTGCCTCACAATGATGCGTTGGCGATAACGGCGGAGGTGGCTGGTTTTGATGTGAAGAGGGTATTCATTGATACCGGGAGCTCGGTGGACGTAATGTTTTATGATTGTTTTGTGCAGATAAATAAGGAGCTCAACCTCGACTTGAAGCCGGTGTCGACTGCCCTGTATGGATTCAATGGGGGCGAGGTGATGCCAATGGGAGAGGTGAGTCTATCTGTGGCGCTGGGGCAAGGAGCAACGAGGAAGGTGAGAATGGTGAGGTTCGTGGTCGTGGGAGTAGAGTCATCATATAACATTATCATGGGAAGGACCAGTTTGAATGCATTCTAGGCGGTCGTGTCGACGTACCACATGACGATCAAATATCCGGTGGGGGAAAACGTTGGTGAGGTCGCGGGAGATCAGCTTACCTCGAGGAGTTGCTATCAAACCACGGTGAGCAACAATAAGCAGCTCTGGAGGAAGCAAGCGAGGCTTGAAGAGGGAGTGTTGAACCGACCTGGGGGCTCAAGGTCGAGGGAAGAGATGGAGAAAACAAATAAGGGGAAGGAGAAGGTAGAGATGCAACCAGGTGGGGAGATCGAGGAGGTTCAGATGGTAGAAGACAGCGAGGAGAGGAAGTTCCGGATAGGAAAAGAGATCGAGGAGCCCATAAGGTCGAAATTGATTGAATTGATCAGGGAGTTCGTGGATGTTTTCGCGTATACGGCTGAGGAGTTGACAGGGATAAAAGCGGAAGTGATCGAACACCGTTTGAATATCGACCTAACGGTGAGACCGGTGAAGCAAAAGAGGAGGCACCATGGCGCGGAAATAGACAAGGTGATCGAGCAGGAGGTTGAGAAGTTGTTGAAGAGGGGCCATGTTGAGGAGGTCCAATTTCCCGAATGGTTGTCGAACACGGTGATGGTGTCTAAGTCTGAAGGGAAGTGGAGGATGTGTATTGATTTTCGTGACTTAAATAAGGCGTGTCCGAAAGATTTGTATCCACTACCCAGGATCGATCAGCTAGTCGACTCCACAGCAGGTTGTGAGTTGCTCAGCCTTATGGATGCACCCCAGGGTGTATCACCAAATCCCTCTGGCCCGGGACGACAGGAAGAGGGTGAGCTTTGTTACCAGCAGGGGCACTTATTGTTATGTGGTGATGCCTTTTGGTTTGAAGAACGCGGGTGCAACGTATCAGCGGTTGGTCGATAAGATTTTCAAGGAACAGCTTGGGAGGAATATGGAGGTGTATGTGGATGATATGCTAGTGAAGAGTAAGGTGGAGGCCGATCATGTGAATGACTTGAAGGAAACATTCTTGACTTTGAGAAGATATGACATGAAACTGAACCCTGCTAAGTGTTCTTTTGGGGTGAAGTCGGGAAAGTTCCTGGGGTCTATGGTGACGAAGAGGGGGATCGAGATCAACCCAGAGAAGGTGAGAGCGGTGATCGAGATGAAGCCACCCACAAAAGTGAAGGAGGTACAGATCTTGACGGGCAGGATTGCGGGCTTGAGTCGTTTCATATCTAAGGTGGCGGAGAAGAGTGGTCCTTTGTTTCGAACGCGGAGAAAGAGCTCGAGGTTCCAGTGGACGGAGGAGGCCCAGAGAGCATTCGAGGAGTTGCAAAAGGTGTTAGGCAATTTACCTCTGTTGGCTAAGCCAATTCTAGGGGAGGACTTGGTGCTATACATATCGATCGGAGAAATGGCAGTAAGCTCGGTTTTGCTGAGGGAGGAAGGTACAATACAATTTCCAATCTATTACGTAAGCAAGGTAATGCAAGGGGCGGAGAAGAGATATTCGGAGATCGAGAAGTGTGCCTTGGCAGTGGTGGTGACGGTGAGGAAGTTGCGGCCGTACTTTTTGGGCCATAAGGTGAAGGTGAGAACGAACATGCCGTTGGGAGAAACTTTAGGTCGACCTTCCGTATCGGGACGACTAGTCAAATGGGCTGTTGAGTTGAGTGAGTACACGATAGCATACGAGCCGAGGAGAGCGATAAAGGCGCAGGCGTTGGCCGATTTCATACAGGAGGGTACGAAGGTAGAAGAAGAGATAGAAGGTGTTGGCGAATGTTTGTTGATGGATCGGTGTCGAGAGCT